AATAACTAAACTTCAACAAACTAAAAAGTGCTGCATTTTTGAATTTCTTTAACCTTACTAAAATTTCATATTTTCGAATTTATATAGTCTGCACTGAACACTGATCATTCGAACTGATGTTACCTGTTACATATATGTAACAGGTATCCTTATAAGGGTACGTTCCTTATGTAAGGCGAACGACGATATGAGGAGGCTGTCGGTCGATAGCTCAGGTTAAAACGTTGATACGGAATTACATAATAACCTGTTTTGGCTGAACAGTTCATGCGGTATGAATTTTTTAATGTTATGGTGACCAGATAGGAATATCAGAATAACGGTTTCAGTCCTATACGGTATACTTCGGAAAGAATATTGTCGAAATAATAAAAAGTATTCGTCGTGGTAATATGACAAATTATTCAGAGTACCGATGAATAGGTTTTGATAAAATCGGGACTTTAAGTATTTTAGGAAAGACTTTGCCAATACATCGGCCAAAGCTGGCACCTGATCGTCTGTCATTTGGCTGAGTTGTATTTCATACGTATGGACAAGTCAAATGAGTAAACACCCCGTTTTTACAATTTTATAAACCGTTTCGTTAAAAAGTTAAACACCGGTTTACTTTCACATAAGTAACCTTTTTAGAACAATTTTCATCTTTTAGTGGTGCTCAGTATTAAGCAAATTTCTCAAAGACAGTTGAAGAAATATTTTTTGTTTACTATGTTTTGAAAGAGGACTGTTAGAACTATGTACACATAGGAAAGCATTTTTGTCACAAATTAGTTTTTTATTGAAAATAATTATATTTTCGAAAATGTTTAGTATTTTGGGAGGATGCTTTCTCATAGTGCCTGCTTCCATCATCATGGTAACGTTTTTTCAAGATACTTTTGACAGTATTTTGAAGATCTAAAACTACAATTGTGGCAAATAAATTACTTCACAGCAAAGGCGCAATCAGGAGTTTTGGCTATTGGGTCAACCCCCATTAGAACGAAAAAAATCAACTGGGCCAAAAGCCTATTTTTCAAGTCTGCAGCTGAGGACATCACAAAGTTCAAAATGTCATTGAGCGGAGGCTGGAAGTGCGTCACCCCTTCTCCTGTAGTTGCGCTCCTGCTCCTCAGGTCTTGTAAAGGGCTTTTTATTTCAAGAAATATTCTTCGTTGTGAAACTCACATTTGGATCTGTGCTTCGTCATTTATCGGCAGGCATCTCAAGTGAAAGATAAATGCTATATAGCACTTTAAGGCTCTTTTAATTCTCCACAAAATTCACTATTTGAGTTTCTCCAATGCTCAGGAGCAAAATAATTTATAACAATTTTTTCAAAATACGGAGTTAACATAAGGTAACCATTAAGTCCAAAAATTCGTAACTCTATCAAATATACAAAACGTAGGTGAGCAACAAAAAAGTCTGAGAAATTTGCTAAAGACTAGGGCTGTGACTATTAATTCTTACGGCTATTTCTGCAGTAGGACTGTGACAGTCACCAGTTACCGTTACCACCTGTACCGTTACCACCAGTAACTGTTGAACACATGCTGGACAGTTACCGTTACTTTTAACTGGTCGTTATTAGGCCTCTGACAGTAGGCGGTTCTCGTTCAATAAACGGGAACGGTTTTTCAGTTTCCGTTCCGAACTAGGAACGGTTCAGCAGTTCACGTTTCTAGGAACTAGGAACGATTCACCAGTTCTGGTTTCGCGAACAGAAACCACAGTTCTTTTTGAACTGGAAACTGCTCAGTGTCCTTTTGTGATTGTTGATATATCATGTATTTCACTTCGCAAGCATAAGATTTTACTTGTAACAGTAACTGATCACCCGTTACCGCTACCAAATTCGGCAGCTGTTCAACAGTTACCGTTGCCGAGTGACTATGGTAGCGGTAGCTGGTACCAGTCACAGCCCTACTAAAGACTGAGATATAATTCAACCAAACGGCAGACCATTAGTACGGAGAAAACGTTGGCTTTCTCATGGAGGCTCTCTTAAACCATGTTCTTTTCAATCGCAAAGTTAAAAAGAAATTAAGTTGACTCTACGTACGCATTCTAGAAAATTTGGATTTTGTCACAGGGGAAGTTTTTTAGATTAGAGTTTGCCAGCGAAATGTTTTAAACAAAGCAATCGTCTTAAAAACTGTTGAAATTACATTTTGAAAAAAGAAGTTTTAAATAGCTCTTCAAGTTTTAAAACTTTCAAATTAAAAATATAAATTCGAATTTTTTTTTAAAACTTTTTTAAAACAATAAGCATTTTTAAATAAAGTGAAATATATACCAGGTACAGCATTCGTAAGAGCGTGAAATACTGAATTAGTGTATGGAATCTGACGATGTTTCTACTTAAACAGAAGTTTTTCAAAAATCCGGTTAAAAATCAATAAACGTGCATCACACAGTTATTACACAGTTAATATACTGCTACATGGCACGTTGGTTTAGATCATTAATAAAATATAATAAGCAGTCTTAAATAGGAATGCACTCGTTTCAGTTAAAAAGCAGTTAACTGTAATTGCTGAACTATAGAACTGTAAAACTTTTACAGCTAAAAACTGCCACAGTTAAAAGTGATACATTTGAAAATCGAAACTGAGAAAAAATTTATACGAGAGATAGAATATCGAAAAAGAAAATTCATATATTTTTGCTCAGAATATTGTGTCATGTTCTTTTATGGGTTTTCTGAATAAACTCGAGTTATCAACCAGTTACATACCGTACCTGGTATTTTTTTCACTTTATTTAAAACGTCGTTACAAAAGTCTTAAAAAGCCTTGAGTTTAAATTTTTGAAATAAAACTTAATAATCAAAAAGGTGAGTTATTTAACTTATGAAAGAATTTTTTCAAAATGTATTTTAAACATTTCTTTATTTGGTGGCATTATACTCATATTTGTATCGCAAACAACGTTTTCGAGCAGCCATAGTTTTCTAGAAAGTATAATTAGAGTTAAGTTAAAATATTCTTGTATTGGTTATTAGAGGGCGTAGTTTAAAACCCTTAAAAAGTCATCCATCTCGTAGTAACGATTACACTATAGTTCCATTATTATATAATATAACTATAACTATTTGATACGTATAGTCCAAATAGCACTTCTTGACGTGTGTTCCTTCCAAACTGAACAGGTCACTTTTAAAATTATGAAATCATTGCCGAAACTCAGTATTGAAACAATATTTTGCCTTAAAAGTTTTAACAAATACTCCTTGCTTTATACATAGTATTTTTGTAAACACAATATTGACTCTTAAAAGTGCGTTGTTCTTGATCATTTTTGTCAAAGCGAGAAAATAAGTATGAAAAATCGCACATTAGCTTAGCATTAAATTACTATTATCCATTTCAGAATACAATGTGTGTGGATTTTTGGATAGTCTTCTAACACACCGTATTAAACAAGAAAAAGACATCATTAAATTTTCGGTCACAACATGATTATAGTTCAACATAATTATGTTATAGGAAGACTAAAGAATAAAACATACCTGGTTTTATGGATTGATTTGTATTATAGATATTTTTCTATAGATTGATAGAATTCCTGCCCGCGTCTAATTCCCCTGTAGAAAGGATTTGTTTATCACTTAGTACTTGTTACCTACTATCCACTTAACAATTACGACATTTATTTTCCATTGTCATACCTGAATTCTGTTCGCACTGCACAGTTTGTCCTCACCACCACCGAAAACAAGCTTGATTTGCTAAAGTCTAAGAACTCAGTCAAATTTGACTAGTCATATCGGTCCGTCTCAAAACTGTACCTTTTATGTATAGTTTAACAGAATATGAAAAGTAACATTGACTAACTCAGTTCTCTTGTGAATTTCAAAATAGGATTTTTAAAGAATTATTCTTTAAAAACGAGTATAACTTCTTTTATCATTAAAAAGTAGCTCTTAAGTTCCGGTAGTTTTTCAGCAAAAAAAAGTTGCACTAGAATTTCTGATAAGATGATGCACGTTTTTTTAAACAGATCCATTTTCCATATAATTTTTTCAAATTTTGAATCTTAATACTGTTTTAACGAGTAAATAATTAGGGAAACAAACCATGCTATTATCCATTTCAAAATACAAGGCAGTCCATTGTTTTTATGAATAGCCGACAGGTAGGTCCCCGGAAATTACCTGTAGTGTCCGAACCATGATAGGCAGAGCAAGATGTGGGGCTTGTGCCGGGTTTTTGCTTCGAAAGATGCACAATGGTATACCTTGAATAAGATTCAGTTAACATAGACTTTTGGTCCGGGATGAAAATCAAGGATAAAAATCTCGCATTCGATTCATAGTCTGTTTGTAATTGATTATCATGATAAAAGAGTACGCATTTACTCGTAGCGACTACGCCTCAAAAGAGATATAATATAAATTCTCATGGGAGATACAAATTCATATTTTGGTTACTGGACTGACGAAGAAATGTTTTTAAGTGCCCCATCGATTTTTCAACGAAAGAGGGTTATAGATTATCGATGATGCTGATTCCGAATATGAATATGAGAGCTGTCTTTATGGCTTCGAAGATCCGGTTTTCTGGAAAATCAGTTTTACAGCAACTCTAAAAAACAGCCAAAGCATTTCTTAATGAGCCATGCTTGTAGTTCGCACATTTCTGATTAAAATGAGACCCCTTACAACTCTACATGACCTTTCTTTGCAAAGTTATACAATTTACAAGAAAAGCCCTAAATTAATTTCTTCTTACGTCTGTAGCTTTGCGTTGACAATGAATATTTAGGACTTTTTTTGTAAATTGTATAACTTTGCAAAGAAAGGTCATGTAGAGTTGTAAGGGGTCTCATTTTAATCAGAAATGTGCGGACTACAAGCATGGCTCATTAAGAAAAGCTATAGCTATTTTCAGAGTTTCTGTAAAACTGATTTTCCAGAAAACCGGATCTTCGAAGCCCTAAAGGCAGCTCTCATACTCATATTCGAAATCAGCATCATCGATAACCTATAACTCAATAGGTTTCGTTGAAAAAGCGAAGGGGCACTTAAAAACGTAAAAAAAAGTGAAATAAAATGGCTTCCGTAAGAACTTTCTTAGCTAGTCAATACCTAGTCAAAAAAAGGTCAGAAGTAGGAGTATGAAGGTGTACTTCGTTTTCGGGGCCCGCCTTTTGGGAAATAGATTTTTTTTTGGAGTAGTCTAGAATACTCCTCAAAAAAGGAGCACTTCGGAGGACTCCTTTTTACAAAGGGCAGCCGAGGCACTGCAGAACACTTCAAAAAAAGTTTAGTTTTTGAAGTATTCTTTTTGAGAACATGCACTTCGAGTACTCCGGAGTAATTCTTAACAAAGGATTATCAAGAGTACTTCTTTCTTTTTTTCCAAAAAGAGTGCTTCATCATACTCCTCTTGATATTTTTTTTGACTGGGTAGCTGCTGATTGTTTTTTTCAAATGGGCCTAGAGAGCTGCTATTACTATTATAAATGCTTTATAGTAGGAGAAATTTATTGTAATAAAAATCAGGACGTCGCTGTTCAAAGTATTTTCACGCAAATTGATTTTAGAATCGAGACTCTGGAGAAGTGCACAAATAATGGCCTCTGTTCTTCATTTTTGAGAGTGGCATTTTTTTATTATTGGTCGCCATACTGGCGTCCAAAGATACCTGAGGCATCGTCTTTCAAGAAGCGTCTCAAAATGGTTCTTTGTGGGGGAACAAAGAAGAAAATAAAAGTCTCGTTAAAATATAGAATTACTGAAAATCTCAGCTCATCGAACAATACCTACAGGGCCTGGCTAGCATCTTAGAGCAGAGGATGATCCTGCCCAAAAAAACTTTTGTTCTTCCCAAAAGAGTTTGTTTTGAAGCGCGAAGCCTTACCGACAATACTGGGTGAGACACCCAAGTTACTACACGTTTGAAAATTCAGCTTCTACATGCTATAAGACGTATGAAAAATTTTATGCGATGGTAGAAAAAAAAACTTTTCTAAAATCACGAGGCTGGTGATCACTTCCCGTAACTGCGCCTCCTCTTTTAATCAATTAAGAAGTATCTCTTTTGAGACACGAATATTTTGGCAAGAAATTGCGTTTGTCAAAAGAGATACATTATCTCTCATTTCCATATTCCAAATAAAAATCAAATTAAATATGAGGTAGAAGTAATCGAGATTATCTTAAACGGTAATTGGTACTTTAACTGGTTCAACAAAAAAAACTCCGCTACTCGATTTAGCTTAACTTTGAAGATAAAAGAGTCTCATAAAATGTTCAGTGCTGTATGGATCAAATTTCATTGTTTCAAAATGTGTATATAACATTGCTCAAAGCAATGTAGCCTGACTCTTCAGAAAATTATCATGGATTTTATACGAAAGCAAACTCAACAAAGCACTTCTACCAGACCGTTCAAAGAGAATCTTTTCTAACGTCAACGTCGGAAGTTGGATTATATTTTGTTTTAATGTAGAAAAAAATGAAGTTTATATTGTTATTTTTGTTATAGTTCTTGTTCAAAATGATAAAATACAAGTAGAACTGGTTCAAAAAAACGGTATACCATTGTTAATCGATTGTGCATGTGAATCAAAATTTGATGCAATGACCATTCAACAACCATCTTTGGAAAATTTATTGACAATGGCATTTGTTCCAAATGCTGCTGAAATACTAATAAATCATCCAGATTTTATTCAATATGTAAAACAGAAACTATTAACATCATCAGATAATACTGAGCTAAATGTAGCTGATGGTTTAATGTGGAAATTGAAAAAAGAACCAGAAAAATTATTAAAAGAGAAAGAACATAACTCATCTGAGAATGCTGGAAAAAAGTTTGAATACGATATAATGTTGAGTTATTCACATATCGATATGGAAATGTGTGACAAAATATATAATCGTCTGACAAACGATAAATTTAAAGTTTGGCGTGATAAAGTAGAAATGTATGGCTCATATATGGACCGAATGGCTGAAGGTGTTGAAACATCAGAATTTGTAGTTATTTTAATGTCAGATTCATATAAAAAAAGTCAAAATTGTCGAGCCGAAGCAATATATGCACGTGAAAATAAACGTCATATAATACCGTTAAAAATTCAAGAAGATTATAAACCAAACGGTTGGTTAGGCATTCTAGTAGCCGATTTAAACTATGTTAATTTTGCTCTGAAAAATTTCAACAAATCATATGAAGAATTAATTACACAATTTCAACTGTATCGAAAACCTAGAAAGATAGACTCAAAATCAGATGACGTTAAACCACCAGAAAGTTCCCATGAAGAAAAACGCCCAAAGTCATACGACATTCCAACAACAGCGGATTCTTCTACAATTCAAGACAATTTCTTTGAACAACGTCTTATTGAGTCATGGACAGAAAAAGATGTTCGAGACTTTTTAACAGATAAACACCTTGAAGTAATGATTCCATCATGTAGAAATATGAATGGATCCCAATTATATCAAATGTATAAATCATGCGAAAAGAATAATTCAGATATGTTTAAACAATTAAACTGCCAATTAGAAAGAACAAAAAACAAAGTTTTATCACATCATGACTATTATCAATTTTTAAGTGAATTAAAAGTGTTTGTGCCAGTAATCACTAGCAAAAATTCTACTGTTATCTCGAGTTCCTGTGTTATAATATGATGAAATATATTTTCTCCATGAAAATTTTTCCATTTGATTCCTTATAACAAATTATTTTATACATTTTCAGAGACGTTGCAAGAGAAAGCGGCCATCACAGTAAAAACTTTGAACAGATAAAGTTATTTGAATGGAACTTCGATACAATCTTGTAATTTTAACTGTGTTTAAAGTTTAATATTTTAACTCTGATGATGAATCGATGATTCATTCATTAATAAAATAAAATAAAATAAGAAAAAAAATTTAGCTGCAATTTATGATAAAATAGAAACTTTTATTTTAAAAGTCTTGCCATTAACAAAAGTCAATAGATTATAATAAAAGTTAAATTTAAAGTTGGTAAATAACAGATGTAAAGTCCCCAAGTGATTCATGGCTTTTACTTTGAAACCTCCTTGGTCTTACGTAATTCTCGAAGCCGGCATTCATTTTTGCTGATATGGGTTTATGTTATGGATCTATGGAAACCCAGCCTCTGAAGACCTGTCTTAAACTCCATGGTGAAGAGATTCTAATCTGTGCAGATAGTAGAGTGTGTCCAATATAGAAGAACATTTTTCGACTTGTCAAGTAGGTTCTGGCTGGGGTATGAAAATTTTACCAACGATTCTATGAGAACTTGAAACAGTTTCGTATTTTGATTCATAGAAACCTCATATCCCGGCCAGAACCTACTTGACAAGTCGGAAAACGTTTTCTTGTGATTGTGACTGATTCCCATTTTATATTTCAGATAAATAAGAGGAAGTCAAAACTTTTGAGCTGGTTTTGATTTTCTGCGTCAAAAATCTCTTACAGACCACTGAGCAATTGAAAGAAAAATTTATTTACAGTTTAGAGTGATAAGGCTTGGCATAATTTTGTACCAGTATCATATCAATTATTGTTGTTGTCCTTAATTTGAAAGCATAAAAGTAATTTTAAAAATAATGCTGTGTTGTTGCTGTAAATAAGAGAACAAAATGCTGCTGATTTCTCAGCACTAATGGAGATAAATATTATGCTCAGGAGATATAAATACAGAAAACTGCTGAACCTCATTACAGTTTTAATATTAATTTAATAATAGGGTAATTTTTTCGCAGTGGCACGTATTCCGGAACCCACAGAAACTTCTTGAAGAGTAGTTTGAAAATTTACGTCTGAATACTGTGGTCCCTGGTCGTTCTTAACATATTTTCGTAGCATGATAGATGTGTGAGAGAATATTGAGAGTTAAAACTGTAATGAGGTTCAGCAGTTTTTTGTGTTTATATCCATTTTTCTCCGACTAAAAATGGCTTAACCATGCGTAAAATACTGAGAAAAGTTTGTGCCTGGTTATAATTACCCCAGGTTGCTCTATTTATTTTTAAACAATAGAGAAAGAGAAGAAAGAGAAACGCTTTAGGGTTAATAAACACGGTAGCGTTGTGCACTTATATTTATTCTTTTCTAATAGAAAAAGTAAAAAAAATTCAAAGAATATCGTTAAGAAAATCGTCTTCTGCTACAATGATTAATTTTCATTCTATACGACATCCAACAGGCCGACGACCTCGCAACTATAATTGGTATTGGACAGAGATATAACCTGACCAATACCAATTATAGTTGCGATGTCGTCGGCCTGTTGGATGCCACCAGACGCCCGGTCCTGGTCCGGTCGAGACTTATCAACCGGCCGGCTGGACCGGTTCTGGTCAGACTGCTGGACCGAGCCGGTCAAATTAGCTTTTAACTAGAAAATATGACAGGAAAAAGCGTATTTATATCGAACGGAAAGAAATATCACCGGTCGCTTACTGGTCAAATTTTTTGAAAAATGGTCGGTCAGTCGGCCAGTTCGCTCCGGTCTGCATATGTTCGCCGGTCACCGGCCGGTACCGGTCATGATTTTGTTGACCGGTTACAACTCTGGTATTGGAAAATCAGTGCAGATTTCTGCCGAGAAGATGTCGATGATTCAGTTTTCGATTCTGAATCCGAAAAACTTTGTTTCAAGTATTGAAACTAAAATGCGAAAAAGTTACGGCCATTTTTTTTTGAAACCTGATGGTTTTGGGATTTTTGAAAACTTCCGAGTTTTTTTAATTTTTTTATCGGTCCTTTTTTCTTCTTATTGTGATTATTCTAAACCATTTCAATAATCAGTGAATAAACTTTTGAAATCACTCTTCAGTGTGTCTTCTATGTTTTTAACGTACTGGTAGTCACTTAGTATACCTTTTATTAGATGTATATATGTGGAAACAGAAATTGACTAGTTAGAAGATATGTACACAGATTCATTTCTCAATTCTGTCTACAAATAAAAAAAATATGGCGCCGGATAACTATTTACAATGAAAAATGTTCGAAGTCCAAGACACATGTTTCTTCCACTTGTGAAACTCATATCGCAACAATTTGGACGGTTGTTTAAAAGTAGAACGTGAAATGGTCCACATTAAGTACCCAGAGAACCCGTTTTCAGAACGTCTCTACGTTACGTAGTTCTGTAGATCATACGAGTCACTTTTTGCAAAAAAAACGATGACTAAACAAGAAAAAAAAAAGAAATCCCTGAATAAATACAAAATGTCTATCGACATAATAAAACGAAACGAGAGGAGAGGTGGAAACAAAGTTTATTTATCGTGTTTTAAACTATTTGTTTTTGCATCATACTAACATTTTCTAAAAAATTTTCCAGCCAGAATCAGTTCGGCTCAATAGTTTTTGGACTGGGACCAGTTCGAACCATTAAACTTTTTAAAAACTGGGACCAAATCGGACCAGATGGATTACGATTGGGTCGATAGATCTGATCGAAAAAATTCAAAACTATGCTGATCGATAGAGCATTCAATTCTCTACAAAACGGCTTATCTTTTTCGAACTTCAGATGTTTAGACAGGTTTTAGAGCTAAAAGAGTTTTCTGAAAAACCAGTTTGTTTTTTGAAAATTTTGGAAACGAATTCAACAGAAATTTTAACTATCAATAGAATTTAAAATTTCTTTTGAATTCGTTTCAAAAATTTCAAAAAACAAACTGGTCTTCCAGAAAACTCTTTTAGCTCTAAAACCTATTCTAAGCATCTGAAGTTCCAAAAAAATAAGTCATTTTGCAGAGAATGGAATGCTCTATCGATCAACGTAGTTCATTTAATCAAGAAAATGTCTAGGTGAGGACATTGAAATTTAAATTTTTATGTTGAAGTTTTAATTTTTATAAATTCTAAAATTAATTTTCATGATCTTACAGTTCCGTTTCTCACAGTTCCAGTTCTCAACAGTTCCAGTAACTGTAACTGGTGCATACCTAGTTTCAACATAGAGTTTTTATGATTTTTCTAGTAGTTGAACACATAACAATTCAAAATGAAAAAACTTTTTAACACTTATTGTTTGCGGCACCATACACAAAAATTCATTTAAATTTATACTATTTTTGTTTATATCTATCTTCTAAATCATGTAAATGATTATTACGATTAGCATATAATTTCTTTCGTAGCGTTAAACTAGTTTGCTTTGTACAAAGTTTTTTAATAGGTAGTATTGTTGATTAACGAATGATTTTGTTTTCAAATTTAAAATTGCAGTAGACCCAATGTATAAAAAGAAAAAAAGAACAATCTCTGATGTGGTTGATTGTGTCTTAATTAGCTTAATGAGTTTAAACGATAATGAGTTCAAAATCATACAGTAGGGAGAGAAAGATTTGGGCTACAAAATGAGGCATTTTTCAACTGATTTTCTCTAAAGCTTACTTAGCAGTCAATTATTAATTAAAACTTCATGTATTTGAATGGAGTATCTCTTTTTCCCCCGAATGAGGGAAAAGAAGACACTTCGCATTTTGGACTTGGTTGAAAATCGGTCAGAGATTTGTAGAAGATTTTTATATTAACCTGTAGAAAAATGTTCGCTCTATCATCATGTTCAACAGTAAGTTTTTGGGATCAAAAATGACTGAGAACTAATAATTTTTATAATTGCACCTATAACTCAATGTTTTACAACGGATAAAAAAAGCTGTCAGCGAACCAAGAATCAGACTTAATTGATTCTAACTAAACATATAGTCTCGACGATACAATAATAATTTAATTACTGTCGACGAAACAAGAATGGATCCAAAATTTTATTTTGATAGAATAAAATGAAGGTTTAGGATAGAGATGCGCAACAAAAAATAACCCTTGCAGCATGAATGATTCGCGAATGGAATAAGGACGGTATCGAAATATCATTTACATGAGAAATAAGAACAATGGGTTACTTAAGCAGATCGTAATAAAAATTACCAGCACACATTCAAAAGTAGGTGTTAGATAATTGACACTTCATTATTGGACTACGTCTAGAAATAATAAAACTACTTGAGAAAGGAAATAAAGGTACGACAAACACTTGAAATATAAGCAGTACAATTATCCGAGCTGTGTTCGTTATCTAAAGCGTTTTATACTCTAGTTGTCGAACCTCTTATCTCTATAAGTATATTGCAACAATTAATTGATTTGAGAAATGAATGTGCTTAATATACTTTTTCTACACGTGTGTTATTTCTCTAGTCCTCGTTCTCTTTCTTTTTCTGCTCACTTAAACATTATTTTTTTCTCAATGCCATTTTTAGTTTATTGCATGTCGTTAAATTTATAACTATGTAAAGGTTGTCAATGTGTTCTTGGTATAATGATACCTCGCATTGGAACAGTATGATGTATCATTCACTTATCGGTATTCCTTTTCCTTTGGAAAATAAGGCTTAGGCATGGCTTAAGTTTAACGTCTAAGATGCGTCTAACTTTAAGCTAACGGAGTTTAAAATTGATAAAGCAGGACAACTCAAGTGAGATGTTTGACTTCTATCTAAATTTCTCGTAAATATTAGCATACTACTCTCTAGAAAAAATGGTTCCCTACAATACTAAGGTCTCGTGGGTCCTTTCTGAACTTTTAATGGTTTCTCGTTTTTATACTGAATCTCTAGGAGTTTTGTAGATCAAAAGGTTTTGTGCTTAATGTACGAAAGAGCACACAAGGTTTCTTATTTAAATTGGAAAGTGCAAAAAGGTTTAGTATTTAATTTGAAAAATGTAAAAAGGTTTCGTATTTACTTTCGACCACAGATTTAATTAAAGCAACTCTTTGTACAAAACCTGTTTAGATTTTGTGCAACAACATTCATTTTATTTTTCGCTACTGTTGGCGGAATAAAACGCATATGAATATATATGTTTTTTTTTGTCTAAAAGTAGTAAAAAACAAGACAGGTCTATTCTCAAAAAAGCTTTGACTGAAAAAAAAAAGCTTTGCTTTGAACTGAAGAAAAAGTTTTATTATTATTTATCTGTTTTATTTCGTTCTACACATTTGTATTTCTTTTTATCTGTTATTTGAATATCGTCTGTTACATTTGACTGCTGATGTCTTTTGAATAAAGACGACACGTCTAACAAAAAATAGTCTATTATCATGCTTATAAAGATGATTTATCTCTTATTATCTGCATCTTCGGCCTAGGATACAGACTAAGCAACAAAAAGAATTGATAGGACGTTGTTCTGTTTTTACTTTTTTGAGTGTTTTATTTTATATGCGCTTTGCACGTCTCGCACTTAGCCCTTATCTTTAGTTTTTATGCATGTACTGCAATCATTACTTGGTTTTTCTAATTAAACGACTTTTTCTCTCAATTTTTGTAACTTTTTTATGGTGATTTCAAGCTTAATTATGTTTTTTTGAGTTTTTCGATGATTTTTACTATTTTCTTTATTTTTTTACTATCGGTGTGCGTGGTAGGTTTTTACGTTATTTTCTGTGACTTTTTATTAAAATTTGTATATTAGTCCACCATCAGATACTGGAATTTTTATGCATGTGTGCTTTTTCTTTGCTACATTGTAGTTTCTTTTTGCTTTATGAGATAGTTCGCGTTAATAAATAAAAGATAAAGACAAAGCAGCACCACTCAGAAATAGTACTGCAACAAACCTTTCATTTCAAGCAAGTCGATACGAAACCTTTAAAAAAAACCAGAATTTTCCCACGAAACCTTTTTTCTGCCGAATCTTAGGGGCTTCGAATTCGTTTCAAAAGTATGAACCTTTAAAGGTTCTGGGAGGAACCATTTGTCTTTTAGAGAGCATGAACATATGTTCAAAAGGTTTTGTGTATATTTTGACGGTTCATAACGGAAGTATCCAGGTCAAAAAAGCAGAGCAAAATCGTATAAAATCTTCCGGAAAATCATAGAAACGGATTCATCTCATAAAATCTTATAAAAATCATACAAGAATCTTACGAAATCTGAGGAAATTTTAATATAAGATCTTACATCAAGAATCAGTTTCTGTATTTCTTACAGAATCTTGCAAATTCTTATGCGTATCTTGCGAAATCAAACGGAATCGTACAAGGATCTTACAAGATCTTGGAGCAAGATTCTTTGACCTCGGTAGTCGTGAGTACTGCAGAATAGGTAAATCATACTTTTATTGTCGTATCTCGCTCTAGCTCCCCCTCCCCATAATTCTATTTTGTCCCGCAAGTCGAGTTCTAAAGGATGGTCTTCTATTGCGGTCAAATTTTGCCACCTGCTAGTAGTCCAACGGTAACCTTACGTGCCTGTCCCCTATTAGAAGTACGTTTTGGTGAAACTGTTTTGAGAATTCCCCTATAGGTAGGCATTTTCCGGTTTTTTTCGCGGACATAATAGAAGACCATGGTCTTCTATTTGGCTTTCAAGTCATATAATCGACAGCGGTCTTCTAATAGGGGATGGTCTTCTATTATGGGGGGGTTTAGTCAATAACCTAAGTTTTTATTCATTTCTGACAGTCCGAAACTTAACGACAGAGGAGTGCCAAAGCTTCAGNCCCCCCCCCCCCCGCCCCCCCCCCCCCCCCCCCCCCCCCCCCCCCCCCCCCCGCCGCGCCTTAACTACCTTGTCTGACAGATTGTTTAAAAGGTTGTCTGTAATGTTTTCTATATTTTATTTTGACAATTATTTAAGTTCTTAGTAACTTATAAATATGAAAAGAATATAAAATTAGTGAAAAACAAAGTATAGGACGAAAAAGTCAAAATCATATACCATCCCTTTACTTTTTATTCTCTTGAGCTAAGTAAGAAATCCAACATTTGACGTTTCGAAATCATACATTTGTTGGCACAATATTTAGCAGCTTCTCGAATTGAATTTTGAACTGAATCACGATATTGTCCAATGCAAAGTATTTGACACTTGCTTTGAGAATCAACGAAGTTATTACCACCTTGACGCTTATTAAAATCGTCGTTGTTGCTGCTCTGATCATCATCATCTTCGCTGTCTATGTTTGAAAGAGAAGTAAAGTTAAAAAAATATGTTTCAGTCTTAGATCTACGGTACCAGATAAAATTGAACGTTCTTCATCCTCATTTGAATTATCGCTCAAATGATTTAATATTGAACGAAGTTCAAGTTCCAAACTTTTATCCCCAAGTTCATCCATATCAGTGTCATAGCCAGACGTAAATGAGATAAGTAAGAGCAGACCTAAACAAAATTAAACCTTTCATTAAGTATAGGTTTATTGCATATCGGTGTAGCCAGCTAACTCTGCTAACGTAACAGAATTCCGTAACGTTTTTTTATCATTTTGTTTTGCCTATAATTTCTAAACTAACTGCCGTAGATTATCGCGGGACAGCTTAAGTTGAAAAGGAAAGTATAATTAACATTTTAAGACATTTTTCAACCTTACAACATGTATCGTTAAGGAGCTGTAACCTAAACATTAGACACTATATTTTTAGTTTTTTCGAATTTAATTTTTGCAAAACTAGTATCTAATGTTTAGGTTACAGCTTCTTAATGATACATGTTGTAAGGCTGAAAAATGTCTTAAAATGTTAACTATACTTGTCTCTTCAACTTAAGATGTTGCAAAACACTCTACGGCTGTGAGTTTAGGATCTATAGGCAAAACAGAACGATGAAAAACCGTTACGGAATTCTGTTGCGGTAACAGAATTAGCTGGCCACGTCGATATACGAGTAATATAATTTTTGATGTTCGTGTCGATTATACAAATAAACAAGATGTATATGTCTTTATAAAGACATTCACACGGAATCCGTCGTCATTACTCGTGTAGATTGCCGATATGTATTTATCAAAAAGTTTAAATTGGTCGACATTAACTTACCAATAGAGCAGATAATTAATTTCATCATTTTTTTTGAGAAAAAAGTTTTTTTATAATAAACTGAAAATAAAGCAGAGCGTAATTTATTCCTGAAATACTTTGTTGTACTTGCTTTTTACGATTCAAACAACCTGATATTTTTTTTCTGTTCTCTTATGTTGCAAAAGTAATATACATATATATATATGTGAGTGTGTTGTTGGATGAATGTGTCAGCAGCGTAGGAGAATATTGCGATGATTATCGGTTATTTACTGAAGAAAAAAGGAAAACGATAAAGCTGTTTTATATTATACATAGAGAACATAGGACATGAAAAAATGATTACATGAAAATGAATGAATATTATTGATCACAAAATAAAATTTACGAGTGAATAACAAATTTTTTATGAATTATATGAAATCCGAAGTAAAACGTGAATTCACATTCATTTCCTAGAAGGTTTACATTATTCTTTTGGAGTGAAATGTCGGACGTGCAATAAGAGAGTACGACTGAAGTCAATTAAAAACATTTTCATCTTCTCATTTTAAATATAACGGAAATAATTTAAGATATATGTAAAATGTGGGAACATCCACTAACACCCCAAAATCACTGAAATTAAAATGTGAAATGCCCAGTCGATAGAGCTCGGCGAATTGAGTATATTAACACCCAGAAAAGACAGTTCTAATACCCAAAAAAGTATATCAAGTTGATCTACATGACTCTCTGATCCGGTTGGTACAGTTTTTGATCGAAGAAAACGCAATTTCACCCTCAGAACGTAATAAAGAACCTCTGTAAAAATGCAAAGTAGCGGTTTTGTAGAGAATTTCATGGATCTCCTCATAAATTCTTTATGACTTTTTAACATCTTTTCAAAAATCACAAAGTCGTTTTTTTCGATCGAAAGTCGTATCAATAGGATCAGAGAGTCATGTAGATCAACTTGGTATAAGTTTTTGAGAGTTAGAGGCGCTTTTTCTGGGTGTTAGAGGGTATTTATTTGTAAAAATCGCTAAAAAGCTTAGCTATTAATGATTGTTAGTATACTCAGATCGACGAGCTCTATCGATTGGGTATTTCATATTTTAATTCCGGGGATGTTTGGATGTGTTCTCACGTTTTAACATATCCAATAATTTAATGCTCAAAAGTTAAAAAAAACATTTTTTTACTTCATACAGAATGTATGTGAATAAATACAAGCGCAATGCCTAAGATTTACTTAACTGGATGCCTCCTTTTAAATTCTAAAAATGTTGTCGATTGGACATGGTTAAGAAAAGGACATCGTTCGAAATGAGCTGACTCGACAGAGCGCGTAAAACCAGATGTAGGGAACTTTGTCAGACTATTCAAAAGATTTTATTAGTGTCCAAGCTCATGACCAGCTTCTTATTAATTCTCTTCTACTGATTGTTAAGCAATACTCATCCAAAATCTATTGTTCTTCTACTACTTCGTTAAAACGTGTTGAATTATTTTTCTAGAACCATGTACAAGAGATCACTATAGTGCTACTGTGAACTAGTCTAGTCAAACATTTAACAGATCCCAATTTCACATTTTTAAATCCTTCTTTGACGTTTCAAAAGCAAAATTCTGAAATCTGAAGGTTTTAACTGCCACCACCTAGTGCATAAGTCAAATATCTCATTTTTGTCAAACAGACGTCGAACAGATGAGACAGTAGATGTCTGCAGCTGATACTCTGATATGAAATCTTCTGTTTTCGTAAATTTTCTGCTTTTCTTAGAAGCAAAATACGAAAAGAGAGCTTAAGATTAAGGTTTTTTGGACAGTGACGCACATTGGAGCTAACAAATTTCATTATTAGCATATGAGAGTAGCACATCATTATTATTTGATGAGCGATATGGCGAAGATTATTCAATGTTTCGTCAAGCGTCATGCGCCACTTCCAAACAAAAAGTTGTTCTACCGTTCCTTCAGAACAAAAAGAAAGAAGGAAAGTGGATAAGTTCATTTTTCTTCTCCCCAATATTTTCGATTAAAAATTATATTGTTAGAATCAGCATCGAATTCTGAACAAGACAGATTTTTCAAAAACCTCAAAAAAAAAATTTTCGAATTAAAATGGTTTCTGATATCGCACAGAAACGCTTATTAAGCTTCAGATACATCAGACATACTCCAAAATGTGTTAGCTTTCTGAATATGGTGTTACAAAATGTTCCAATTTTATGATATTTTTGCCAAAAATTTGCATAAAGGCCCAAAATCCGAGAAAGTCTATGTATTACTTTTCGTAATTTTTCTATTACTGCTTAACGAGCTTGCAATCGATTCAAAGTGGTTCCGACGACAAAAACGATATGCTTTTTTTTTATAAAACTAGATTTACGAATTTTAAGTTGTCTAGAAATTCAGCTGAAGACATATGATGCTGTGAAAATAGATTTTTTCGATGAAAGAGCATTCAGATCGATAAGCGAACAAGTGGAGGTGAATTTCGTTTATCTCCTCAATCTAAATATTCTTATAGAAAAAATTTCGGCGTCGTAATTAGGTACAACGATGGAACGGTACTAGAAGCAGGCTATGTATGTCCAAACGGTAGTCGAATAATTGGATGTTGTAGTCATATAACTAGTATTATCTAGTATTTTGGACTGGCACGTTACGATTCACAAAAGTACTTGGATACAAAATCATCAGATTACATTGAAATCATATGTCAACGCTGGAAATATTTCGATTCATCATCCGATGACGATGATGATGACATTTTATATTCCTTAGCTTAAGCTATAGTTTAAATGGCCGGTTATTACACTAAGACACGCTCACATCCCAATATCCATAATTTTCAATGCGATGATGGACACCCTGTTACACTCCGAGACTGGAAGAAGACTCCTAGTCGTTTTGTTACTACAGTAAACGAATCGACATTGTACACCGACAGGAGTCTTCCTTCTCTAGTTAGCCTGAGCAACTAACTTAGAGTACGCCGCAGGCCTCTAAATAAAAAGGAAAAGAAATTAGTAACCTATAAAATAAGCAAAAAGAAATTTCTCTTCGGGCCTGATTTTCGAAAATATTGGAGGCAGAAAAATGACCTTACCCTCCTCCTTTTGGTGCCAAGATCTCACACTTCCTAGTCTGACGATTATCCAGTACTACGGCGGTTCGTGTCTAAGGGAGCTGTTACGAACCCTGTTGTAATGATTTGTTTTTATTTATTTTCTCTTCTTCTGTTTTATACTTAAAAGAAATTTAATTTTAAAAAAAGAATAGATATTTAAACGAACACAAAAATGACAAAAGTGATTTTTTCTACAGTCAAGTTAGTTACAAAATCAACCTCATTGCTTCCATAGTAACAGTTCAATATAATTCGATTTCAAGTTACTTTAATGCTGAAATCGAATATTAACACGGTACTGGCGCTAGCTGAAATTGACAGATGAAGTTTCTGGTGTCCAGTTATTTCAATAAAAGATTCATGATGATAGTGACTTCGACTCCAAAAGCGTTTATAACTGCATCATAACCGTTACACTCCCCTCCCTTTAACATTAACAGGTTCGGACATACGCTAGTATGTGGAAACAATCGGAATCGATTTCAACAAGCCGAGGAGAGGTATGAACAGAATCGTTTTTCCAGCCACAAATGATGCCACAACTACTCTTATGTTCTGGTAATCATGATTTACTTCAGCGATGGATGTTGTTGCTAAAACGTGTTAGTCTGAAAACTCCTTTAATAGTATCAATGAGAAACTAAACATGAACTGTAAGTTTATGCCACGATTGTATCTGATGGGGATGTTACGTCGAATATAAAAAATATATTTGCTTGAAAATTAGTACAAATATAGAAAATATTAAGGGACGATCCACAAAGTCCATAATATGGTCAAAAAATGGATTCTGCCCTAACCTTGCTTATTCTCCGTTCAAACTTACTTACAAATCCAAGTTTTCTCACCTCACAAACGTTTTGTTGTCAAGTTATGCAATTTTTAGAAAAATGAGTTAAATTTTTTTCTCAAAAACTGACTGTTCTTTTATTTCAATTATTTTTCATTCGTTCTGTATTTTGAAACTTTTCAACTATATATCAATCGAAAGAGCAAAGAAAGCTGATTAATACATGATATTTTTAAAGCTATTAGAAATCAGATTTATGTTTGAAAAAATTAAAAAGATGAAGTTTTAATAATTTTAAAAATGAAATTTTTTTATTAAAACGAGGTTTTCGACACTCAGATATTAAAATACCAAATTTATGAAATTAGCACATCTTGTAGAGAATTAAATTCTATACAAAATGAACTATTTTTTATTCCTAGCGAACATTGAACTAGTGTTCAATAATGCTGGACAATGAAGACCATTACAATTAATGAAAACGTTAAATTTCTTGAAATCAACATTGTTAACATAATAGCATGTTGTTTTATGATAAATTAGTCTTTATTACTTCAAAACATATTTCAAGCATTCGTATGATCAGTCATCCGTAAGCAGTTGCTGTGAAATTGTACCGTTTTGAGACAAAGTTGCTACTATCCATCCCAAAATGCAAGCCACTCGGTTATTTTTTTCAATAACTCAAGGATGATTAAAGATAGAGACTTGAGATTTCCAGCAACCGAAAGAGGACAGCTTAGCCTATATTTTTATAAGCAACACCGTTCCCCGACAACATTTGGAAGATCAGTTTTCTACAAAATCTTTGGAAAACTAGTTCGAATCTCCAGCGACTGAGATAGCAACCTATTAGTTCCCTTTCATAGATATATGGTCCAAAATACCTACTCCAAAATGAAAACTAGGCGAACTTTTATTTTTCCTGATTCAGTGGCATCAGATTTCCGGAGAATCCCAGGATCAATATTTCTTTAAGTGTTGTAATCCCAAAAACGAATGGAAACATACGTAATCGATCACGCCGACTCTTGTGGGAACACTTATTTTCCAAAAAAACTGTAAAAAATATAGTAAAAAGCCTATATTACATGAATATGCCATATCTTCATGTAAAATTAGAAAACTCAGAACTTAGTCAATATTGATGCAAACTACGCCAGAATAGCAAGACGTACTCCACTGCTCAATATGACTTTTACTTAAGAACAGTAAACAACGAGTATTAGGGCCAAATACAATTGTTGTCCACACGCGCTTAATTGGGATTGATCAATTTCATTTTTATACTCCTTGCCAATAATTTTAAGGTATAGAATGATGCATGGGATCAATAATGTGTGTATTATTATCAAAAGATGGTAATGATGAAATAAGTGATTGTGCACTAATATTTATACCACCATTACTTCTATTTAAATCTTCTTTTTCTTCTTCACGTCGTCTTAAACAAGCTGCTTTGTGATTCAAATTACGTTCTCGGACTTGTTGTTCAAGAGACGTAATGAAATTAACAGCCTGTTGTAAAATTCCAAGTTTCGTAATGGGTTTATCATTTCTCATATGGATTGAGCACATTCTACCAAGTGCTTCAAAAGCGTCATTGGTATCTCGTACACGAAGTCTTTCTCTCGCATTATTGACCGCGCGTCGATCTTTTTCTCGTCTTTCACGTTCTTCTGGACTTTCATTATTATCAATACTCCTAGTTGAGCCGAGTCTTCTTGTTAGGCATGCTAAATTATTTGGACTAGTGTTACAATTATTTTTTGATTTTGATGACGAAGAACTGGCTCCAATATTTGCTGCTACAGATCCAACTGAAATACTGAGAGGTGCAGAATTTTCTTGTGTAGTTCCACTATCAATTTGTTGTTGTCTGCTGAAATCATGTGTTTGTTTCGTTCCATTTGAACCATATGTACCAGATCGAAAACTGGCCTGGGTGGTAAACATGCATTTGTTTCACCGAATTGTAAATGATTATTGTTTAGTAAATAATTAGAAGTTGTTGACATTCCATTAGTCCAGGATGGATTTTGATTATCAATATAATAAGAGGCTCATTTGTACCATCATACAAAGATTTTTTTGAATAGTGTACATTTTCTGGATTAGAAGTCGAATAGACTATAGAAGTTCGTCGTTTTTTATCGTCTAATTTTTCTGAATGTTGTAAATCCAAAGATTTTCGCGAGGGCTGCTTAGAAATGGTACTGGAGGCATAATTACTGCTTCTATGTAGCGATTCGGATGTTACAAACGGATGTAAAATGTCTCGATTACTAAATCATCCATCATATATCCCATCGTCATACGGAGAATTGAGTGCTTCACTCCAAAAATCAGGAACTTCGGTTCCATTTGTGGAATAAAGCACCTCGGAATTTGTATTACCGGGATGCATATTAGCACCATGATATTCCACTGTAGAGTACAATATCGAAGGAATTCTTGTCGAATTCTGATCATGTGAAGCAGTTAAACGAGTACGATGTTTCACAGCATTAAGATCCAGTAAATCATTGAGTTCTTTATCATTGTGTAAACTCATTATGGTCGGCTAACAAACTAAATCTCTTTATAATGTGTTTAATACAAGCAGAATGAAAATAACAATGAAACACTTTGAATATATATAAAAAGTAAGACAGAGTAAAACAAAATCTTCAGATTGGTTCATAGACTGATGAGGGAACGTTCCGAGGTGACACCCTCCGTTTTCCTTCGTTCATATGCCATTCGATATCGATATTCGATTCATGCATGTTGGACTGAGCAAAGCATGCTAAATGCAAGTAGTAGTCTGTTGGTTTCTAAACTTTTGTCCGCTAGTGAAAAACAAAAAGTTTTTCATTAAATAAGAACAAGGACTTTTGAAGTCTCTCTGCATGCACTATATAGCTATAGATCATAGCTATTTCTGACAGTCGTTCCGATCGTGATTTTCTTAGAGCAGTATGAAGAAAAACAATCTTGTTTCTAAACTTTTTGCCTTTACTTTATTCATCGTTCATCGGAACGGTCGAAGGAGGAAAAAGTAGCACCTAGTGATGAAAACGTGCTGTCAAGAGCTGAAAGGTGTTATTGGGAGTTAAAAGATGCTGGTAGACATTTGGGAGCTGTAACGTCAACTATTGGACTACAAAGGAAGATTTGGAAGCTGGAAGATGCTATGGGTGCTGTGATGAAAATAAGTGCTTTTTCCTCCTTGGGACAGTCTCTTTTCTAAAACAAATTTTTTCCTTCTTTTTCTTTCTAAAAGTTGTATTTGTTTTTTTCGCTACACGAAGATGTGTTGGCCGTCGACATTAATTCGACTGAAACTCTTGTTCTCGTTTATTGTGTTTTTCTTAGTTGTAGATTCTTATCTCACAGTCTTAGTTTATGTGATATTTTTGCTAGGAAACTCGAGTAAATCTTCTTCTTTTGTTTTTTCCTTCATTTCTTTATTGTTGTTAGATGTGTATATGTGATATTCGGTCATTTGTTAAGAAATACAGAAAGATTTCATCGACTTCAACTTCAAGGCTCACATCGGAGATGACAAGTAAAAATTCCATGACATGATGATTCCTGAAAAAGATAGAGCAATATCAAAATTTACTGACTTGCTAAGATAATAGTTTAGTTAGGTGCTGATCAAACTTTTGCAATTAATACGTAATGATGCACATAGTCGAACAAGTTGTTACTTACAGCTCTCTTCTTCTATTCTCTGTTGCAACAACAACAGGCTGAACAAGTCGTATTGCACAGTGAGCATCCAGGTGAGCTTTTGGTGCAAAAAATGATAGTTGACTTTTCAGTGATTCAAATACTGATTAATATACTTTGAAAAATTCTCTATTCGATGCCAAAAAAATTTTACGTAACGGGTTTTCTCAGAAGCTATCTTTGGTAGAATGAACGCGCCCGCCATAGCCTAACTCAATATCCGTTTAAACTTTCGCAAAATGTTCTCCTATGTATTAGCTGTTAGCATAGTTAGCATAAATTAACATAAACACCCCTGAGCTGAGATATGAGTTTTTCCAAAAACCCTTGATTTTTCAATTTCTTCTTTCAGAAAAGGTCAACATTCAATACAAATAGCATTTTCGAATTCAGCGCGAAAAACTACATCGACTGATGTATAATAAACCGTGATTGGAACGAAATATTTTATTTGAAAACATTCAAGTCTGGTCAAATGTATTTTACCGTACAGTACGGTAAAAACCTTCTTGTTTTCCAGAAATCCTCTCAAGAACTTCAAAACGCATTTCTGACAGCATCAGTAGATTCGCCAGGTACGAAAACCTATAAATAACAGTTTTCACGGTAAAGGGTTTTCTAGAAACCTCAGAGCTTTGCCAGAAAACCTTTCACAAGGTATTTCAAAAGTTTCTGACTTCATCATAGGGAACAGTATGTGCTGGAACCTATTTGCAGAAATTTTCACTTCTTCAGAGTGAATATTGCTAAGATATAGCTCATGCTCCCCTGCTATGCAAAAAAATGCACACTGTGTATTGTTCCACTACGAGTGACATCTATACTCCTGCTGTCTATAAATCGTGCTTTCTTACTTTTCGAATAAACTTTGATAATTAGAATACTTTGTCTATTTTAACTTATTTCTAATAATTATGCTATTTTAAAAGAAAAGACGTTCAGCCAATCCAATTAAGTTCGCAAGTTCGCATCCGCTGAATCGGTCCGCTTTTTACAGGTACCCGTCTGAAGAGGGTAGGTGCAATTTGCGTCTCGATCTAGCGGCTGCGTCTCAGCGTCTCTGTTTGGATTGGTTGAAACCAACGAATAGAAATTTGCCTATTTTTTATCGATAAAATACCGAAAAATGCGCTAGTAGTTGCGTGGAGGTTAAAGAAAAATAAGAAAAGGGAGTTTTCCTCATTAGCTGTGCGGTGGTGAATGGAACATAAACTGGCGGACAAAATTTTAAGCTATTTTATATTTTCAGTTTCTCCTTATCAATTTCAAAAGCTGATAAGCATCCAAATAGGATACTCCAGACTATGGGCTACAAAAATGGACTGATTTTATCTTCTCAGAATACATG